TTTTGTAGCCTCTTGGCATAGTCTTTCACCAAATTCGAGAGAAACTCAATATGAATCTGCTCCCTATAGCGTTGTGAACAACGGTATTCGACTACATGGTGTGTGTATCACTACTGCATCTCACTATGACACGTATTTCACTTCCACGCCTTGGGAAATTTTCTTGAAGGCTATGAGTGTTAAGATTTTGTCCAGTATTATATTTCACCCTCAGACTAACGGTCAGTTTGAATACACTATCCGGACCTTAGAGGACATATTACTTTTGTATGTTTTATAGTTTTAGCCGGCTAGGTATCTTTGCTTATGTTGTATACGATGATAGTTATTATTCTGGTTTGGCTATATTCTTATTTGAGTCGTGGTATCAAGATTTTTTTATGCACGGCACATGATTGACAGGTAAGTATTACGAACATGTATTGGAATAATTGAGATTACAATCTAGAAAACTGTGTGCTAGTTGCGTTGTTACCTGTAAGGGCAGTGCTTGAGCGCAATTAAGGTGCTAGTCAGATGATTCATGTATACCTTCCAATGAGGGGCAAGATGGTATTATTGCACCCTCGGGAATTTGTTACTCGCTTATCGAGATAACAGTGAGTTATCGGTATTGCGAGCTGTAGATCGTAATAACAATAACTTATTCGTTGGGTTCGTTAAGCAAGTAGATAGGTAGGCTCGTTCACGTTAGTATACTTACTTAATTAGTTACTTATTGTTTGGGCTTAACCCAAAGTTACTACGAGTACGTGACTCAATGAGTGCGCAAGTGAAAATATTCTATTTTCAGTTTTATTTTTAGAATAATTACTTTAACTTTACATTGTTATATATGTGTATTTTGGCAGGATGTTACTATACATATATACGTATTCTCGATGTTATGTTTTTATAAAAGTATTATGTTTTAGTATTGCACTGAAGGAGGAATCACAGCACTCCGATTGCGACGGAATGACATTCTCTTTTATGCAACCGCTCTAGCTTGATTTCTTCCTTATATATATACTTTCTCCCCACTTTTTGGAGTTTTATGTATGGCAAGTGATTTCAAATTTCGAGGATGAATTTTTTTAAGGTGGGTAGATTGTGACAAACCGTCCCTAATTTTAAGTTTGGTAAACTTTAAGTTAATGATTTTACGAAAATGCCCTTGAGGCAAAGATTTTGACTTTCGTTGACCATCAGCTCTTTTAGCGTATTTGTGTAGTACTTGATGATACGAACTCGTGGGCACAAGTGGAATTGAATTTGGAGCAAAAACGGGGATATTATGGAATTCGAAATGTAATGGTATCTTGGTAAGTTCACAAATGGAGATATTTCTCCACTTTGGACCACTACATGACTGACACGTGGCACCACCCCATTTCTAGTGCCCTTTGTCTTTTCCCTCCCGTGGTCTCTCCTTTGAGAACCCTCTTATCTCTCTCTCCCTCATTATCTTCTTCTTCTCTGTAAACAGAGAGGCAAAAAATACAGGCCGGAACCACCGTATCAACCCATTCTGCCTCATTTTCCTGAGTTCCTTATCCCTTGGAGGAGTAGTGGAGGACTTGTAAGATTTGGATGTTTTGGAAGTTTGAGCTCTAGTCCTTTTGTTTGTGGAGGGTTGCCCACAGAAATGGTATGGAAAGTTGAGCTTAAGGTCGCTTTTTAGGCTCAAACTGTGAAGATTCTACTACTGTTGCCCTTGTCTACCGTGTTGCCCAAGTCTCCACCATAAACTTAACCTCGCCCTCCGAGTCTTTAAGCAACTTAGAGACATCTCCGCCATCTCCAATGCCTTGCCTCGCTGCTTTAGCCTTAGCTTCTTGAAGGACAAAAGCTTCCCCAGCCTTCTCATCTAGCCCAACATCCACCCATTCGGTGTTGCTTTAGGCTGCAAGTATGAAAAAACCAAGGAAAGGATTAGAAGAGGGTAGATTATAAAAATAACATAAAATACAGGTTAGGAGAGTAAAAGCTACCTATTAGAAGAAGTTGGTTCTTCTGATGAATCATCTCCTTCCAATTCTTAATCTCACCCGAGCTGGGGTAGGATTTAATTGAGAGTTGCCCAAAGAGGCAGTCACGGGCTTCACGCAAATCCCCTACATACTTCTTGGTCCACTTTGCGTCCCACCAAGAAAAGAAAGAAGAGGTGCATTCAAAGTTCAGAGCCATGGGCTTTCGTGCAATCCTGCTCATGTCTTCCAAACTGCATCGAGCAGCCCGAAAGGTGGTTGCTAGTGGAGAACAAAGACGATATGAGGTGCCACAATGAACGGAGTCGAAAAAGGGTATAGGGATGACTTGTCTAAACCCCAATTATCTAGCGCAGAAGTTGGGGTGGTAAACCTCTAGCCCGCGCTCGTAGCAATCATTATGGACTCACCATGCCAGATCCCTTGACTAGATGCAGCTAATAAATTTTTCTTTGCAGAAGAGGATGGCATCTTCTCCAAAGGCATCTTGAAAAAGCTTGGTCTTAGAACCAAGGATATCTCCTAAGCACTGAAGCTCCCCACTCCAGGTATGCCCGAGTCTTGCAGACTCTGAAAAAATAAAGCTAGGAAAATATGGAGTGATTGGTAGGTGAAGCCTCAGCAAGAATTCGGGCAGGAGCAACACCTTCTAGGAATTCTAGATTTGGTGCTTGAAGTTCAGGAAAAAACCACTACAACCATAACTAAACCATCTTGGTTGGTCCGTTGAGGTTGGTTTCAAATGGTTCACTCTTGGTTATTTCATACAGAAGGTGATAGATATGAGCGAGGAGAAATGGGCTCATGGCCACGTCATCGAAGTTGTTCAGAGATTCCACCAAATGGATCCACTCAACTTTTACTCATTTGGATTTGTTGGGGAAGACATGCTTGTTGAGCCAGTATAGTAGAAAATACATATGCTCATGATCTCTGTTAGCATTGGAGGATGTCGGGCCAAAAGTATTCTTGACAAAAGGGATGAAACCCATGAAAGAAGTCTCGTCACTCATGAAAATAGAAGAGTTGTACTCTAGTTGGGTTATGGGATTAGAGGTGCCCGAGCTCTCAGTAATTAGGCGAGAAAAAGAAGACCAGTCATAGGTGACATTCATAACTCTGCCCGAGGGCCTTCACCCGAATACTTAAGCCATGTCAAGAATGGTCGGGGATATGAGGCCCATCCTGAAGTCAAAGGTGTTGGTGCCCGAATTCCAGAAGAGGATAACTGTGGTTAGCAGTTCAGGCTTGGCAATCACAATAGTCTTAGATAACATAATTTGCTTGTACATGCCATTGTTCATCCATTTCTCCTTAAAAATAGGCTCGAGCTCATTTACCCACTGCACCCAAGCTTCATCATTCATCAAGGGAAATCCTCGTCGATGTGTAGATCATTTAGAGGAAGAGATGCCAGCTTCAACTGAAAATAGGTTTAGGGTGAATCAATTCACCTTGGGCATGTTGTTTTCCACGGCAATAGAAACCTGAGAAGTCCATGCAGGCGCCAAAGAGTGCACTCATCCTTCTTCAAAGAAAAGTAAGGTTTGAAAGCCAGCCCAAGGACGATGAAGGCCGTTGAGCAAACGGCGCATGGTGGTAATACCTTCACCAGATTCATAGGAGGATTGAGGTTGGGTAACTTTGGGTTCCATTGGATGATTTTGAGAAGAAGATGGGGTGAAAGTTAGGAATATGGAGTGTGAACGGAGAGAATAAGAGAATCTAGGAAGTTATGGAAATTCAGAGGTTAGAGATTGCTAAAGTATTTGGCTGAAAGGTTTACGTGAAGATTATATAGTAAACGGTTAGTTAACGTTGGAAATCATGGGTTAGTGCAACGGTTTAGTTAACAACGGCTGTCTTAAAAGGTGCAAGTCTCGACTGAAAGCATGCGACGGTTGTTTAATCATCATTTGCATACACAACAATGATTAAATGGGGCATTATTTGGGTTAATATTTGAATATTGGGCTTAAATAGAGGAAAACCAAGGATGCCAACTAAAAGGGAAACTTGCCCGAAGCCTAGCATCGAGCCCAGAGCAAGTTAAAGCCTTCTCAGCCAAAATAAAAGCCACGTGTCTACGGGTGAAGTGACAAGTGATGGGGACTAACCTTTTATCTTCTAAAGAACACTCTCCAGTGGCATCACAAGTAAAAAGTTGATGACTTACTACCCTCCATGTGGTTGCGGGCACGAGCAAAAGCTACAGCAGTCGGGCCAAATTGTTTATAAAAGAAAGAAGAGACAATAGGGACAAGGATACTCAACCGATCAAACAAACAAACATACAAACTTTGCTCTCAAGCCAAATTTGCACCCAAAAGCTAAAATCAACCTAGATTCAATCCTTTTAGCTGTAGTTATTTAGAAAAGCTATCTCTTGTCTAGTTTAAAAGCTCTGTTATTTCCCTCAGTGGTGTAGTATCGATTCCCTTGTGTAAACTTGTTTACCATCCATCCCTCTTTAGTATTCAAACCTTGTAAATTCAAAGATAAGTGACTGTAAGAGGTTCAACCTTACCAGATAAGGTGAAATCTTGCCCGAAGCTCTTTATTTGTTTTCTAAATTAGTAAATCTATTACTTAATACATTCTCCAGCATGTATTCAAGTTATTTCCACTTGTTTTTTTTTCTATTTTAAGAGTTCCCTTTGCATTTGGATCTGGTTAGTTTGACGAATATGTTTTCAATAAATGTAATCTGGAACCAAACAAGTAACTTAAGGAGCTCTCAACTCCCTTCATTCAAACATACAAGACCATTAACTAAAAGTCCTAGTTTACAAGGCAAGAAGAAGAACTTAATGTGGACTTAACCCATCCACGACAATCTTTTGATAACAAGAAGTTTAAAGTAACTTGGGGCGCAAGTAATCGACTTAAAACACACTTGTTCTACATTTGCTATATTGAGATAGCAGTGACACGCCTAGCACTTAGTTAGTTTTGAGTGTGAGCCTCAAGGCCTGCACCTAAGGCCCCACAAAGGCACCTTTCAGAACTAACTTTGTCCTATTCTTGTAGCACATCAACAAGCAAGAGCCCAACTACACATCCAAAGTGCCAATCCCATGGGGAGCTGTGCTGAGGTCCGAGGAGCCTTCTCCAGAAGAATCTTTGCCCGAACACCTCCTACCCTGCCACTACGCCAATATGTCGCACCAACCTGGCTATGATGTCATTTTCGGTGGATAATCATCCCATCTTTCTCTTTACATATTTTGTTGACATTATTCATTTTTGTTTATGTTTGTATATGCTGTTTGTACATTTCATCCCACCTAGCATTTAAATTGATGCAGGCGGCGGAGAGGAAGTTCTGAAGTGAGGGGTTCTTTAAATTTAACTTTTACATTGAAGGATGGAAGGTGCTAAGGATTACCGCGTGCGTTTGTTTTACAATTTTCCGAGTATTTTTGTTTCTTTGTTTTACAATTTTCCGAGTATTTTTGTTTCTAAATTTTGTTTGATACATGTAGCATTGGGTTTTGAAAAATTAAACAAAATAATAGAGCGAACTCAGACAAGAATGATGTTTAAATAGAAAAATTTGTTGCAGTTCTAATTAGGTTAGGAATGTGATCATGTAAATTTTATTATATCTTTGGTTATTCTTGTGAAATTCTATTATATTTTATACTTTAGATATTATCCTATTAAAACTGTAATTATATTGGGATAAGGAATTTATCTTACCTTTAGTGGCATAAGGAATTTACTTTTCCTACTATTATAAATAAAGACACAATAACATGAGAAATCATACCTCTGAATTCACCCAATGCTCTTTATGTTTGCCGCACCCTCTTTCTCCATAAGCCCTACAATACGCTTTTAGCACGCTCGACGTTACGCTAAAGAGAGTTTGTTCAGCTTCAATCATGGAATTATTACGTTTTAATCATTCTTTTAATGATTAACTTATTATTTTATTAAATTAATCTACATGAATTTGATTCAATTTGATTTATTTTTTGTTTTGAACGTGATACAACGCATTGGAGATGAAATTTCGGCTTTTTGAGAAGGATCTTCTACAAATTCAAATGCTCAATTTGTTTTTTGCCGATCAAGGTCTCCTAAAATCCATGTTTGATATTTTCAACGACCATGATGCATCCCCTTTTACTCCCCCTCCACACCATTGTTAAAAAAGAAGGGCAAAAACTTTGTAAAAGATATGGTTTCGTCCCTTACCTACAGTCACTCCGGTGTCATTTTCTTTAATTTCCCAAATAAGCACATTGAAAATGCTCGACCAACAAAACAATAAAGCACCTTGAAAATGCAAAGCCACTGCAGTATATAAGCCAAACTATTAGGTACGCAAAGGCACATGTGATGATCTACTCTTTCTCCGAAGTCCACCAAACCAACATCTTCATATAAACAGCTTATAACCCTCATACATTCTCTGCTTCCTACTTTTTCATGGTTGGCCTTCAATACTTCTTCTTTCCCACTGACTTCCTCTACCCTCGTACTACTCCTCAGTTGAGGAACTTAGACGAAGCTACTGTTCTTCCCCTCCAAACCACCAAAACAGATCATGTAGCCAGCGAGCTCGAACAGCTCAAGATTCAATACCGTGGAGTTCAAGTAGTCAAGATTGCAAAATCTCCTCCTCCCATATGAAAGGATTTTCCTGGTCCGATCACCCCTTCTGTTCCACAAGGGCAGTCTTTGTGAATGCTGATACTGTTAGGGTCTGTGAAGCTTGTGAAGATCAAGATCATGAACTTCAGGATTGAATTATTTACGGGGTTTCTTTTTTTACCCCCACTATGTAGTTACTTTGCTTGCTTGTCATCATATATGATGTATAACATACTTAATTAGTCTCGCTTTGTAACAACACCAAGAAGGTGGATGTTATATGAATTAGTATCATCCAGAATATGTGTATGTTCAGATTATTGCTATAGTGTACGAAGATATGTAGGGCGATATATGATCTTGTTTCTTTTATCTTTTCCCTTGTTCCCCAATAGCTAGAATTTAATTCACAATCTGCGGATTTAAGGCATTCGTTTACTTTCCAATACGAATAAATGTAATCTCTGCTCATGTAATTTCTGCTGCAGAGGACTAAAAGAGTGTTTGTACCATACTTGACCAATCCCGAAACTATTGAGCACCAGTCAACGTTATACCGTCAAGGACCCAGAAAAGTTTCCTTCCAACCAGGAGGCCAATCAGCGCGACACGTGTCGACATCAGAAGCCAATCATAGCGCGACACGTGTCAACATCAGAAGCCAATCACAACACGACACGTGTCAATGTCAGAATGAAACTAGAAACTTTCTTCTATAAATAGAGATCATTCTCTCACAATATTTCCTAATGTCATTTGTACTAAATCATTCACTAGTACTCACAAAAGAAGAGCTTAAACCTATGTACTTGTGTAAACCCTTCACAATTAATGAGAACTCTTCTACTCCATGGACGTAGCCAATCTGGGTGAACCACGTACATCTTGTGTTTGCTTCCCTATCTCTATCCATTTACATACTTATCCACACTAGTGACCGGAGCAATCTAACGAAGGTCACAAACTTAATACTTTCTGTTGTACCAAAGTCTCCACTGATTTTGTGCATCAACATTTGGCGCCGTCTGTGGGAACGACACTTATTCCCACTCTCTTCAGCTTTGTCAAGCTGGTTTCCACCATTCGTACACTCTCTTTTGACCAGGCATCCTTCTCCAACATGGGGAGCAAAGGAAGCCACAACACACAGAATGACACCCCTCTTGCACTTAGTGCGAAGCAACGAAAGAAGGAAGGAAAGAGGGTTGCTTTTCAAGCTAAAGTCGATGAGCTAGAATCTCAAAACAACAAGATAGCAATGAAGAATGAGGTCCTCCAGGAGCAGTATGAGAAGCTCTTTGAGACACTCCACGAAACTATGCGTACTCAAACACGCGAGCTTGTTGCCCATGTGAACATCAACCATCATCTGGGTGCCCCCCAACACGGAGGGTCACCTTCTTTCGACATGGGTATCTCTGATGAGGAGCGAGCTAATCATCAAAACATTGATCAACATGAGACTTCTCTCAACCCAGCTGCTTCGACCCTGAAGCAGGAGAAGTGGAGGAAGACACCTCTTTGCAGAAGGGTTGGAAGGATCGAAAACCGTTTATCGTGACTGCCGAGACTTCCTAAAGCAACGTCGAGAGAATCCCCTCCACATATGCTCGAAGATCAATGACCCAAGGGTTTCTGAAAGACTCGATCCCCTCCCACGACCCAGGTTAGCTGCCAATCTAGGGAAGGAACAACATGTCCTAGAGGAACATGAAGGTACATGAGACTCTAAGCTATTTCGACAGACTTGCCTTTGCTCAAACTTTCCTACTTCCAAGAGGTGATTGAGACTTACGAAAGAAAATCCTAGTGGTACATGACTCCACTCAAGACCCCCTTGTCCTACAGCTCTTTGATGAAGTAAACAAGTTGAAGGTCGAACGTCAGGCCGAGACACCTGACTGGAACCAACCCAGGCCTGGCCCTCTCACAAGGAGGATCCTTAACACCCTCTTCAAGCGAAGACAAAACAAAAGCTTGGTTTACAACTCTATACTGGAAGGGAAGACCCAATTGAACACCTTAACCTCTTTAAGTCCACCATGGCATATCGGATGCACACCGACGAAAAGCGATGTCTTTTCTTCTCCTCTACCCTCTCTGGCAGAGCTCTAAACTGGTATTGCCGTCTTGCACCTGAGATAGTAGACTCATTTGAGGAACTGAGGAAACTGTTTGTCTCTCAACACATCTTCCAGACCGATCACTTACATTCTGCAGATGACTTGTACATTATTCGCCAGAAGCCGGATGAGTCACTACGAGAGTATGCTGGTCGTTTCAGTCATGAGTATTTTCACTACGCTGAGGCAGATAACAAGACCGCCCTCAAGGCCTTCACGGCAGGCTTACGTGATTGTTTCTTCAAGTACATGATCAATGCCAACACTTGGAAGACTTACTCTGAGGTGATGGCACATGCTTACAACCATGCCTTCGCCGAGGCAATGACATATCAAGGGAAACCTCCCACAACCACCCCTTATTAGCAAGTAGGGAGTGGAAGCCAAATCCAACCAAATGAGAAGACCTCGACCTTCCAAACGGCAGCGGTGCCTCCCCTTACCTTACTCAATACTTTGCCAAGTCAACAGACATATTAATCTTAGGGCAAAAGGAAAGATTTCCATCTTCACCAGTCTCATTTTAGTAAAAGGAGTAAGGGACATTACCGCGATAACCAAGGGTATCGCTTTGATAATCCCCAACCCCAGGCAGTCAACACAGTGAGTCAAGCACGTGTCAGGACAGCCCCTACCCCGAGGTATGAAGCATACATACCTTTGAACGCCACATGTGTGGCCATTTACCCTAGCATAGCACACTTGATACCGAAGCTAAAACCGAGGCACCCGGATTAAGCCCACGAAGAACACGGGCACGTTTTGCTGCTACCACGAGCATAACGGCCATGACGGTGAGAAGTGTATCACCCTTCGTGATCATATTGAAGCTTTGGCACGTGAAGGAAAAATTGATCAATTCCTTCTTCACCCTCCAAGGGGTAACCGTAACCAACGCCAGATAAATGTGATATATTCCATAAGTGGTGGCATACCCATATCTAAATCTTCCAACAGGGCTATGAAAAATAGTGAACGAGCTTTAAGGTCCAGCCACCAAGTGTTTCACGTGGAAGACATCAGGGGAGGTAAGTATCAAAAGCCTAACTGGGATCCAATATGTTTCTACCCTGAGGAAGAAAGAGGTATCATCTACCCTCACAACGACCCACTGATCGTGGAAGCTCACATAGCAAACTTTGAAGTACGACGAATCATTGTAGACACGGGGGCTTCGGTCACTATCATGTTTGCTGAAGCTTTTAGGGCACTTAATGTAGTTGAACACTTGCTCGACCGCTCGATTTCCCCTCTAATAAGCTTCTCCAGTGATATCGTGCAACCTTTGGGGAGCATACACTTACCTTTCACCATTGGTATAGTCCCTTACACAGCTACCATTACCACTAACTTCCTGGTGGTTGATTGCCCAACAACATACAATGTCATCTTCAGACGCACAGGCATCAATGATCTCAAGGCCATGGTATCCACACATATGTTGTTGATAAAATTTCCAACCCCTATGGCAATGGTTACATCAAAGGAGATCAACTTAGTGCACGATCATGTTACAACACTTCGGTCAAGCAACAACATCTGCCTGTGCCCAAGGTAACCCTTTCTATACATGACCAAGTCATAAAGACCAGCCCAGATGAAGCCAACTTGGATATTCACGGTGGCAACAATCAACCAGACGATCTTCGAGATGACTCTTTCACCCAGCAAGCACAACCCACTGAAGAGTTGGAGAAGGTTTCTATCTCAAAAGATTATCCGAATCACATGGTGAAGATTGGTACCACCTTGTCACCACCTATTCGGTTGGCATTGATCTCTTTTTTGCAAGAGAACACTGAGGTCTTCGCTTGGTCATATGAGGACATGCCAGACATCACTCCCGATATAATCTGTCATCGCTTAAGTATTGACCCCAAGACCAAGCTAGTGAGACAGAAATGAAGATCTTATGACGCTGAACGGTACGAGACAATGAAGGCAGAAGTTGAAAAACTTAAAGGCATAGGCTTTGTCCGTGAAATCAATTATCCAACGTGGGTAGCAAATGTTGTCCTTGTTAAGAAGAATCCGACCAAGGAAAGTTTCATGCTCCAAAAGGTCTTGTGGAGAATGTGTGTCGATTACACCGACCTAAACAAAGGATGCACGAAGGATAGCTTTCCTCTTCCTCTTATAGACAGACTTATAGACTCTATGGCAGGGTGTGAACTATTGAGCTTCATGGATGCTTACTCAGGATATAACCAAATCCTCATGAACCCTCCGAACCAAGAACACATAGCCTTCACAACTGACAGGGGACTATATTGCTACAAAGTTATGCCATTCGGCCTAAAGAATGCAGGAGCGACTTATCAGAGACTGGTCAATTCAATGTTCGTCGAACAAATTGGGAAGAGCATGGAATTTTACGTTGATGATATGCTAGTCAAGAGCAAACATACTGACCAACACATCACCAACCTATCTGAAACTTTCACCATTCTTAGGCTTCATGATAAGCCAACGAGGCATTAAGGCTAATCCCGAGAAGATCAAAGCAATCCTCGACATGAAGGAACCAATAACTTCAAAAGACATCCAGAGCCTTACTGGCAAGGTGGCAGCCTTAACTAGGTTCATCTCTAAAGCCACCGACAGGTGTGCTCCTTTCTTTAAAGCACTTAAGGGAAGTAAGAAGTACATTACATGGACTGATGAATGTGATGAGGCATTCAATAACCTCAAAGACTACATGAGTAAAGCCTATTTGCTTTCCAAACCTGAGGTTGGTGACACTCTCATTATCTATCTGTTGGTATCGACTTCAGCAGTAAGTTCCGTTCTCATTCGAAATGATGGTAATGTCGAACGGCATGTCTACTACGCTAGCAAGGCCTTACAAGATGCGGAGACACGATACTCCAACATTGAGAAATTGGGCTTTCGGTATCTACTTCCAAGCACACTCCATCATTGTGCTTACCAATCATCCTCTTCGACAGATACTCCAAAGTCCTGACACTTCCGGGTGAATGATCAAATGGGCGATAACATTGGGTGAGTTTGACATCTCCTACCAACCAAAGCCAGCTAAGAAGGGCCAAGCAGTGGCAGACTTCATCTCCGACTTCACATATCCTGTTGACATTGTTTCTACGCCTAAAGAAGTGGTTTCATTACCCTCGGAAGCCCAGAAAATAGAACCAACAGCCCCAACATGAAGTCTATATGTTGATGGCTTGTCCAACCAACATGGTTGTGGAGCAGGACTAGTCCTTACGACCCCTGACAAAGTGGCGATAG